AATAATCTTCTATTAACTGGCCACGTTGCTTACTTTAATTGCGCTTATCTTCGGTAACTTTGTCACGTTTGTAGCATTTTTAACTAACATGTGGACAATTTTTACTTATCGCGGATTCCTTGCTAACCAACTTACTTCATATGCTAATTTAGCAAAGAGTTATGCCATCGTATCTGTATGCATTATTGAATTTTTTCTATTTCGTCTTGTCGTTTCAAGTGAATGGCTGTTGCTTGATATCCCCGTTGTGGCTGCGCTTGATGTGCATGTTGACAAGGTGCCTACCTGTCTATTATCCACTACCTCGTCCATCTGGCTCCAAAAGAAAGTTGGTCGTTGCTGGATGGGACGGGGTGCACGGTCGTTGTGGCCGTGTTAGGCTCGAAGAGCGGTTCCATGCAGTCTGTGTGGAGCGGACTACGGTCCAGCCACCGCGTTGTGCGGTTGATTACCCAAATACAGCGTGCTTGTGTTTGCCTGTGAAGGAGTATGGTCCGGCTCCGTTGATGAAATGTGGCTCCCATCCACATGGCTCCCGAGCTTATTCCTTCGGGTTTACGCTGGATATGGGGTGTGTGGTTGGAGCTGTGGGTGGTGCAGCGCAAGCCACCCATGGTCCCTCTGTAGGCGCAGGCGTCCTGTGGCTTGCCACAGTGACAGGCAAATCCGAAACCGGATGCCGCCAACCATCAAGCTGGAATCCATTTCCAGAGTGGATGTTGGGGGTAGTAAACAACAGCTACGAGACGAGTGTCGTTGTGTCTTTGCCGGAGACGGCAACAGTGTGAGTTGGTAACGTGAGTTTCCATATCATTAATTATGGTACCTAACAAGTAGCTGCAGTAGTAGAGCTGGACCTTACCTCCTCTGCTGGTGCGCTTGTTCCGGATGAGTAACATTCCTGCTACCTCAATCGCAACATCAACCATTATATTTTAAAACCAAGTTTCGGTAATGGAAGTTAGGTCATAAGCATTTGCGATCTGACGTAGCAGAGGTTTCGTAAGTTTACTGAGTAGCCATTGGGCAGTAGTGTACGTAAAAGAATGTTTCTCCGATTTGAGCAATGTTTCGGAGGTTGTGCAACTCGTAAGTGAATTTTCGCCGACCAGTGTGTGACCGACGACCAATCGTTTTTTCGGTGTTTACTTGACGAATTGTTCAGCGTCTTATTCATCGTTTCAGTAGGTAATTTCCTGTCTAATCTTTTACTTACAGCATGAGGTGTGTGGTCAACAGAATCTTCAACAGGTTGTATGGGCTCATCAGCCACCCTATTGCTGCATAGTTCTTTTATGGATCCCATCACGTTTGATTGTTGAGTGACTTACCACCACTTACGGGCATATCGCTGACTGTCTTCAACTGCAGCTCAGAGGGTAGCTTGCAAAATAGCACTTACCAGTTTTAGCAGCTGCGATACCATTTTTTGACTCTAAGACCACCTTCAACATTCTCGGGCCACTTCCTCTGCAGTTCTGTAAAGTGCCCAGCCGTGACACGGATTTCCCTAGCACATCATTCAAGCAGAGTGTTTCACGAATATAACACCATTGTTCTTTATCATGGGTTGTTATTTCATGCTAATCACATGCTTAAGTTTCAGGAACCCTGTAAAGAAGAGTGATTCTGATTAAAGTTTCTTTCTGTTAGTCCACTAAGTTGTAGTTTACTCGATAACGCTGGCCCCATGGGATGTCTAGAAAGATACGGATGAAGCAGTGTTCATTTCTGAGTCTACCTGTCGACGGTAGAACCGATTCTACTTCAGTGATGGAGTTCAGCACAGCGCACAGAAGTCTGGGCTCTCCGTAATGCTTTGAGTTAGGGTGTCGAGTAATACACACTACACGTACAGGTTTTGGTACAACTCCGATTAAGTTACTAGTAATATCCCACTGGCTGAGGTCATGCAACTGCCTGCTTCTTATTGATGTCGAGTTTGATGCTGGGATATTGCAGCGTAGTAGGCTCAGTACAGGTAGTTGTTTCTTTACACCTTTCGATATGTCGCGGTTAGTGATTGAAGTACTCCGACATGTACCGCAGGAAACCGGTGGTTCTTGCATTAGGAAAACACCGCTACGCCCCTCAGTCTCCGATCCAGTTGGGGATGACGTTAATATTAAAGGACGGCTCTTCTTGGGAGCAACCGAAACACAAGTTTCACTAGGACCGGCTTGATCATTTTCTACGCACTCCGTCGAGAGATTGGAAGTAGCCTAACCCGTAGTTACTCCGATGTAACTGGGAACTGCATTAGTCAAACGTGCGCCACGTGTGGTATTGAAACAGCAATCGATTGTCTGGGCACTTGATGTCGGTAGGTAGACAACATGGTGTTGGACAGCCCACTTAGACCATTGTCCGTACCCGTATTCACGGGCATGGTTGAAGCGAAGATAGAGGATAGTATGTGAAAAGCTCACTATAAGCTTTCTGTGGATACTACGTTAGATAATATCCTCGGATAGGACACTCTGTATTATATACCCGAAATTTACTTCTGTATGTGGTGTTAAGAAGAATAATAGCCCATTCGGAAGCAGTAATTAAGTGCAAGCCAGACTGTCCGATCAAAAGATCAGTCAACAGAATGCTAACATGAATAAATCAATACATGTATACAAATTCTTGGAAGATACTTGGAACCGATCGAGTAGACATGCGTTCAGAGAGGCTTGGAAACAATCAATTAGTATAGTAGTTAATATCGTATCGTCCTCGACACAACAGCTTCGTCAGAGCAGCTGAATCAGTGTGCAATTGGGGTGGGATTTTATAGCGATCAGGGGCGATAACCGCGTTACTCGAGACTTGAGCCATGATGTCATTACAGTAACAGTTCCTGATGTCACCTCAGGTGATTCGATCACAGTGGGAATAGTCCAGGTGTTCCTTTGTGCGTCATGACATTGACAGATAGGCCCATAGTGTTGACAATAGGAGTTAGTTTTCACTTTCCAATCTGATCCACGCACCGATGCTCGTCAGGCTGGCCGGCTTAAGATCGCCCGCCACGCATTAGGGAGTTCTACCCCCTCTATTCTATCCACACAGTCGTCAGATTTGTCAATTTCCACCGCCGCGGCAATCAAGTGCTGAGGGGTTGATTGTATACCCCTCCTAGTAACCTTTACTTTTTCGAGGTCTATCTGGTGATCCGCGTCTAATGCATGCACAGCTAGGGCCAAGTCTCTTACTATTGTCTGGTATTCAACCTCGTTGCTTGGTGGCCTTGAAATGCGCCTCCTGTGCTCCGGAATTCGTGTGCCTAATTCTATCGCTGTTTGGCCTATATACATGTGTGCACAGTCGTTACCTTTAATTTTGTAAACACAGTTAGTTGTCCTATCCTTGGGAAGGGGGTCCTTCAGGTGTACCAGAGCCGAACGTTACGTTCGACCTCACTGAAAGATCAGCCTTATATTTTCCTTGTTTAGTACCCTTCGAATTGCCTCCGAAGTGCATTTCTTGTACGGAATTCCGACCGTCCCTATCCACTCGGCTGTTTGTCTTGACTGCCGGTGTAGTACTTTATGCAGTTGGCCTTTGACTAGCCGCCATGGGTAACCAATTTCTAATAGTTTACTTGTTGTCAATTTCCGCGCAGTCTTTTTGTCCTCCTCCATCATGTACAAGGTTTGTGTCATGTAGAACAACGCTGAGGCTATCGCAGCGTAAACCTGTTTCGGGTGACCCGAAGTGTAATGGAGTACGCTGTCAGTATCCGTTGACTTGCGATGTATAGTTTCGTTAAATTTCCCGCATTCCTATGAACCAGGCAGTCAAGAAATTATATTGTGCCGCTACAAGATTCTAACCCAATAGTAAACTGTGTTCAATCATCAATGGAGTTTAAGTGATCAAGCAACTCATCTTTCTTATCTCATTCAACAAGTACAAAGGTGTCGTATATATAGCGCCACCAAACTTTTGGTGACTTATTGGTGTTTGTTAACGCCCTGTTCTCGAACTCTTCCATATACAGGTTCGCCAGTACAGGGGATTATGGCGATCCCATGGCAAAACCTCTTTCTTTTTACGTCTCATCATTCATACAAGCTTATCTGCATTTGTGGGACAGATACGCTGAGCACACTGACCAAAGTTAAGGTGTCAGTTGATACTGACAAAGTAATTACATAGCCAGATGTGTTCTGTGATGTTGGAGTGCAGCAGCCTCGGCAATCACTAGTTAATCTCTGTGCAGCGGCCACCGAGTCATTCGAAGTCCTGTTGGGCAATTAGAAGGCTCACAATCTCAGGCTGTTGTTGATTGAGATTGCCGCAGCTCTGTGTTCAGAAACAACTCACTGTAACTGAGTGTACTTGGTAGTATGAAGCCCATTGCCTGACCCCTGGTTGGCCTCTAATCGCTTCTCTCCACCTTTCTGTACCCTCTACCTTTATGTGTTTGTAGTGGTTGATATGTGTGCACGAAATGAAATAATCATCACAAGAAGTTGTGTATTCTTACCCTTTTAGTTTGAAGTATAAATGGGTATTTCATGTTTCACTAAGTCTGGGTTGGGCTGCAATCGCTAATGAGAAGAAGCCGACGAAAAACATCGTAACCACATGACATTACCACATATCCATCAGGCGTACTACAAAAATGTGCGTATGATTAGAACTGAAGGGCCGAAAATGCATTTTACTCAAAGTTATTTCGATAGAAGGAACTTTTGTTGTAGATTCAAAAGAATATGTGTGTGTATACGAAACGCGTTTCTAGCAAGATGTATTTCCTTATTTCACACAACTTCCATGGTTTGTTCGAATGGCTGTTTTAGTTATTGGTCTACAATGACCTTTGATGCGGACCACACATAATTTAGCGGACTCGCTCATCGAAAGTTCACAAAACAGCGCTTATTTCCCGTTACAAACACCGTGTTTCAGATCTGGTGAGTGGTTATTATAAGTTCCATTGTAATTGCAACAGGATATTAGCCGACAAACGAGAATGACGTCACTTATCTTGAGATTTGACTTACATAGGCAAAATTGACATATAGTTCTCGGTTTCTCGTTTTGATGTGCTGGAGAGCCGATTTCGCTGCAGCGTTGGTGATAAAGTCAATGAAACCGTAACCTGGCAAAAACACGACATAGCTAGGTAAGCGAAGGCACTAAAACTTCAACGACATTCTCAATTAATGAAGGAGGAAAAGTGTAAACTAACAAGATACAAAGAATTCGGAAGCCTCTGTGATAAGGATAAAATGAGATCTAACGGCTGTTTTAGAAAACTATGAATGACTATTCTAGGTATTATGAGTGCCACCCGCTTGCTAAATTGATCATGTGATGATTTATCGCTTTTATCGCATAGTTTTCTGAATACCGTTCCAAGAACTGGTACAGCTATCATTAAAGCGCTTTCTAAGGGCAGTTACTACTTTAATCACAGCGTTTGCAATGTACTATAAGTTCTGCACTTTTACATGCTAGCATAAGGTGACCGTACCTATTACGTAAAGTTAACCAAATGTAGCTTGAGTAAGACGTTCTTTGTACCAAAGGAGGAGGCGTCTAATTTAATCTCGAAGAAAGTACATGTATCCTTATTGAAAGACGACCAGAAAGGATGCTTCTATTAAACGCTTCCACCTAGTTCTTAGCAATGGGGTGGCGAGAAAGTAACAAGGTTAAGTTGCAAGTTGATTTAGTTTTAGACGATGGAAAACAGCAGCGGAATTCAGCGCTGGTATTCAATAAATTATTGTGAGTTTGCCAATGTCTACTTGGATAAAACTGCCACTTGTTGCCCCCAAGCCTATTAAAATGGTCCACACAGCCACACATGTTACTACCGTAGCTAAAATGATAGAAAAAACAGACTATAGGTGGGTGCGAATTTGCATACTTCTTTTACTAGTTTCTTCTTGCACGAACAGTGACTAGAAAACATGAATTGAGAGATAACACAAAAAACGATCTGTTGTATGCATTACACACCAAGGCGATCGGTTCTCTGATAGCTTGAAATGGGATTGCTTTCGAGTGTGTGCCCCTAATGAGCTCGGCTCGCTCATCTTTTGGTGTCACGCACATGTGAAGACTGGTGACAGTTCCGCGTACGCTAAATTTACAGGTGTGAGAGTGTGTATCGTAAGTTAACCAGTCGCTGACACGACCTTTCTTGGTGTCGTTAATCACGTCGGTATCGCTGCTTCGAAAATCATAACGGTCTTAAGCAACAACCACTCTGATCAGTACAAAATGTCAAAAACTAGATACTTTACCCGATTAGCTTATGGTTTCTCTCATCTCTTAGACTGTTTCAAAGGAGTTTCCAAGCATCTCTGTGCTACACCACCATAAACGATTTCGACCGAAGTCGTACCGCCCACTTGTTTGATCTTTGTCTCATAACAGCTGTTGCACGTTGATAGTCCATAAAATTGTTTCTCTATTGCTTTTTAAAAATTAAAACATACACGGGTGTTTCACGCGTTATAGAGGATTGCGTGATTGTCATATATGCAAAATAATGACTATTCATAACTGCTGTGTACAAAGGCAGTCACCGTTGGAATCAGCATACGCAAGGAAACACCAGACAGCCTTGTGGATTTCACCGGTGATGCCTATAAGCTTGATTAACTAAGGGAACTCAGTAATATCTAGTTAGAACCATCTACATATTTGAGTCCTTTGCTACCAATTTGTTTGCCCGTTGCTCATGTGTAAAGAAATCATGCTCTTTGATACTAATACTCATGTATACGTAGAGTGTATGAATTTTTAGACTAGGGTTTGCGAGGTTTTAAACACATCTATCATCAGCCTAATGATACTCATTCCGCTCAATAAAGCCAGTGATTTATTGAACTTACTAAGCTTTGTCGCCGATAAGTACATGTGACTCCCAAAGAGATAATCTATGGTAATACTGCTACTTTTCCCGACAAATTTTCTCATTTTATACCACCTCGTTGTTTTGTCTGTCTGATATCTCCATCATTCATTTAGCACAGTGCTGTCGATAAGAAATTTGTTCAAAGCCAATTACTTTTGGGTGCTTGTCAGATAGCGTGCTACCGGATGGGAAACTATAGCATAAGTGGGCGTTAAAGTTGTGAGAAAGTTAACTGAACAAATAGCCTACAGCAAAACAACAATGCGCGATGGAAATTTCAGCGACAATTAGTGATTTAAACGACGAAAATGAATTAAAGATGGCAAGCACTCTCTGATGGTCACTAGGTGCTTCTTGTTAAAATCTGTACCAGCTGGAAGATAGTCTTTCTAAGAACATGCAAATTAGGGAATGCAAACACAACAATCAGATGTGTTTAACAGGCATGCCTAACAGTAAGTATTGCACTTTTACCAAATTTAACCAAAGATGCTGGTAGATTGTGACAATTAAGAAATTTCCTCATTGTAGTCTGAGTTTGTTATGAAACTTCTTAACTAAACTTATCATTCAGTTGCACGGTGCAGTCTTCATGCTTATATTAAATGTGCTTACCTATGTGGTGAGCGCCACTCATGCATACTCGCGGCGCCACAGCTGAATGATTTTGCGGAGTTGCGGCGCCTTCAAGCAGTTGTTCTTCTCAAGCCAGCATCGCATCATATCAGTATCGTGTTGTTTGTCCGAAGAAGGAATAAGGGCGCCTTCTTTATTACGCGTTTGTCCATGCGCCACGGCGTCTTCGCTTTGGTTAGTAGAGCTAATAATCGGCCCTTAGATATTACACAGCAAGTACTCAAGGCGAGCCCACCCCACGCAATATCAACGCAGCCAATTAGCACAATTTTTCTTACACGCATTCTGCCTTTGCGTCGTGCATTTCATGTTTGTTGATGCAAGTTTATGTTAATATTAATACATTTTTTATCCACCATACTTCTCGGTTTTTTAACCTCGTTCACTGGGCTTATGCAGCAGTTCGAGTTTGATTAACCGTATTACTATATGCTTTAACATTCTACAGTGCTTAACATAGACGTTCAGAGTTATGTATTACGCAAACATGCCGATAATGTTTGTTAATGACTCTCTAGAAAAGAAGCCCTCATTTATTTTGATAATTTCAGGTCTGAGCTCATGATCTTAAATCTCTGTCCGACTACGCTTGGTACAGCCAAGTTGTCCCGTGTCTTGTAACACTGCCAAGGACTCTAATGATGATATGCTTTCATTAAAAATGCGGTTGCCTGTGACTGTGTACTAAGACATTTTATAGCAACCGCAACGCACAGCGACCCATTTTTGCTGCCAAGCAAAACTTACCTCTTTGCCAACTTATGTTCTTGTGTGAATCTAGCTCTCAGAAGCTGTTGGTTGTATGGATCCTGGAGCCGTTGTCGATTCCTTCCGATAATACTCTGAAAGCACTAGTAACTACACCCGATGACGCACTTGAATCACTTCCACGGCCAACTGCGCGTGGCTTCAGCAGCAGATTTTTCACGATGTCTTGCGAGTATTAGGGTATCATAAAAGACATCAACCGAGCTGACTCTAGTCTCGATGAAATTACTGTAATTCACCGTCTAACGGCACATTCGAAGTTTTCTAGGCAGGATACGCCACGGTCATAAGTTGATTACGTCGGGGCCACTGTTCACTGTTGCCTGTCACCTGCGTCTCGTTCGATGCAAGAGTTCAGTGCTCCTTCGTTATGCTGTCAGTCCAATACTCCATTTGTATTGCTAGATTATGATTAGTGTAACAATGATATGACAAGTCTTTTAAATCGGCCTTTGCCATTTCACTGGAACACGGATTTTACTTTGTCTGCCACGGATACAACCGTCTTCACCTGATAATTATGTCATTTTCTTTGGCTGTACTGCTTCAAGGTCAATAGCGATGCATTGTGTTGATTTTAAAACCTGTGTTGAGATGCTACGAGTGCTAGGAATAGTTGTCAACGGCGTCTCTGTAAGGTAAAGGAGCGTCGTTCCGATTGACAGACTGGGATCCGACACTGTGACTTCAACAGAAAGCTAATTATGATACATTTTTAAAAAGAAATTATTACACATACACGGGACCCTATTCGGGCGACACCTGTGCAGCAGGTGCAGTTTACAATTTGACTTTTAAATTTGTCGTCTTAATCCATCTGTGGCAGTTATTGTACAATGCTTAAAATGCACTCTTTCGGGTACACAAAGTCGCTATTGGCCTGACTTGAATTACAAACCTCTCCAAGCTAGGTAAATACCAACTACCGTAAAGAATCCCAGTAACCAAGGTTGTAGAGTGACAAAACTGATCATTAATAATAAAGTAAATTGTTCATCTTTTTTACGGATGGAAGACCGTACTTAATTTCCCTCATGGACAACAGCAAGTAGTTGAGCGCCACACAGTTATGGAACAAACCAAGCAGCAAAAATTCCACCACTTAGTGTAGATGGCGCAGGATCCGTCGTTTGGTCATCTTTGCAGTCACTGATATAACTTAGGCACTTATCAACATTAAGTAGATCCCCAAGTTTGAAGTACCTCTTGAGGCGCGCCGCCATGGCCATTGGATGCGTGTGTCAAGTTGTAGGTTTGAGATTAACTTCTCGACTTTTGTCTACAAATGATAGGCCTACAGAAAATGTGAGGTTGCTGACGTCTTCAAAACTAATGCAACGAGGTACCGAACTTCCACGAGTTAAGGCATACTTTGCTCGTTGCTCAAATGCTCTTCATTAGGACAACCCAGACTCTTCCCTTTGGAAAAGCAATGGACTGCAGAAACCGTCTTCGAACACGTGTCTTAGTTCCGTATTGCTAGAACTTTCGACAGCCGGGTGGTAAACCCACGTTGTTCCGGAGATCATCATGGATGATTAGAGTCCGAGCGGTAATTCATGGCCTGAACGACGTTACAACGCCAAACCACCACTCGATTCAATAAGTCATACACGTCACCGCAAGATCTGCGGGCGATAATGATTTCAGCAATTTGTTTGATGTTTGTACCTAACAAACCGGATCTTGGACCACACCTGTTTCTGGTCTTCATACATAATTTTGCGTGGATGATATCTTCAAATGGCTTATTATACGGCGATGACTTAGAGAAATGGCGGGCTATCACAACAGTGAAAGATCATATAGCCCATCAAGATGATCTA